AAGTTTTCTTTGTTTGTTTTTGTTTTTTGGCTACTGTATCTTTAAGAATTCTGTGTGAAGTGACCTGCTTGTTCTTGATTTCAGCTGGACTAAAGCACTGGCACAATTTTTGTAAAGTCAGACTAACATATATGGATAATGAGAATGTAACTTTGCTTCCTTCAGCATGTATAAAAACAAACTAAAATGTACATGCATATATAGATACTTAAGGAAGCTGGCTTTGGTCACAGGATAAAAAAAATAAATAAGTAGAAAAGGTCATTGTGATTTTTTTTTTTATCTCACAATTCAGACTGTCTCACAATTCTTAAAGTCATAAAGACATAATTAACTTGCAATTCTGAGAAGGAAAGATGGAATTGTGAGATAAAAAGTCACAACTACTTTTTTATTTCGTGGATAAAGAAAAAAAAGAAAAACATAATTGGGAGATATATATTTAGAATTCAAAAGAAAAAAAGTCCGAAATGCAAAGAAAAAGAAAGAAGTGTCCTTTGCTCACCAAGGCTGCATTTATTTGATCAAAAACATGAATATTTTGAAATGTTATTACAATTTTGTAATAACATTATATTTTTAATTGTTATAAAAATATATAATCTTATTCCTATAATAGCAAAGCAGAATTTTGCTGCTGATTTGCTGCTCAAGAAACATTTCTTATTTTTATTGATGTTGAAAACGTATTCGGTTACTTACGTAACCTCGGTTCCCTGAGATACGGGAATGAGTACTGCGTCTTCCTAAAAGACGCTATGGGAAAAAGCCTTTTTTCTCCTGAACTAAAGCTTTTTTTCAGTCACGCAGTGTAACTGCACGGCCATTGGTTCGTGCAGTGTATTAAAAACGAACCAATGGCTCGGCAGCGGGGCCATCTTGCTATATAAGCAGGCGCTTCGACCACAGGATCCTCAGGTTACTTCGACTGAAGCGACGACTGAGTCGTGCAGCTACATAGCATGGCTAGCAATGCAGTACTCGTTCCCATATCTCAGGGAACCAAGGTTACTTTAGTAACCGAGTACGTTCCCTATCGATACTTCACTCATACTTCGTCTTGCTAAAAGACGCTATGGGAACCCAGTACAATCACGCTGTGTTATGGTAGAGGAATGACTGCATAATATAACCTCCTTAAGCATCTAATGCCCATAGGAAAGTATAACAATATTCTCCAAGGCTAAAACGGGCTAAACTCACAGAGGTCATGCCCGGCCTGGGTAATCGTTCCAGAGGACTCGTACAACTTCGGCACTCCATGGGCCGAGATCATACAAATAAACTGACCTGAAGAGCTTGAGCATGTTACGGTCAAGGACTCTCTGTCAGAACTGTTTTGCATAATGCAAGTGTGTGCCCACTGAAGCAGAAAGGACCCTGGCCTGCAAGGCCGGAACGTCCAGGTTATAAAACATAGCAAATGTGGACGGCGAGGCCCAGCCGGCCGCCGCACAGATCTCTGTAATGGACACACCACTAGACCATGCCCAAGATGAGGCGATGCCTCTGGTGGAATGGGCTCGTACTCCGATGGGGCATTGCAGGCCCGAGGAAGAGTATGCTAGCGTAATGGCGTCTACTATCTACCTAGAAAGCCTCTGCTTCATTACCGGATGCCCTTTGGTGCGGTTACCGAAGCTAACAAAGAGTTGTTCCAAGCACCTAAACGGGGCGGAACGCTCAATGTAAATCCTCAGAGCTCTGACAGGGCAGAGCAAGGATAACTCCCGGTCCTCTTCAGAGGGAGGAAGCGCAGAGAGCGCGATGACCTGCGCTCTGAATGGAGTGGAGAGCACCTTGGGTGTATAACCATGCCTTGGTTTCAGGACGACCTTGGAGTTGTTGGGCCCGAATTCCAGGCAGGCAGGGATAACAGAAAGCGCCTGCAGGTCTCCTATTCGCTTTACCGATGCTAGTGCTAGAAGCAGAGCAGTCTTTAGCGACAGTGACCGAAGGTTAGTAGACTGTAGTGGCTCAAAAGGGGGGCCCTTCAGGGCCCTCAGCACAGTGGGCAGATCCCATGTAGGGACAGTGAGGGGGCGAGGCGGATTCAGCCTCCTGGCCCCCCTCAAGAAGCGGACAACCAAGTTGTTCCTGCCCACTGATTGGCCCGCTATAGGGGCATGGGAGGCCGCTATAGCTGCTACGTCAACTTTAAGTGTGGATGGGGAGTGTCCCTTATCCAGCAGCTCTTGCAAGAAGGACAAAACCACTGATAAGTCAGGGTAGATGGGTCTTCACCACGGTTTAGGCACCAAGCGGAGAAAACAGACCACTTAAGGGCGTAGAGGCGTCTTGTAGACGGGGCTCTAGCCTCCAAAGTAGTGTTAAACATGCGCTCTAGGAGGCTTGTAGGCTCCCGTCGAGCGGCCAAAGGTGCAGAGCGCACAGCTTGGACCGGGGGGGGCCATATTGTCCTGTTCACTTGAGAGAGGATATCTCGTCTCAGAGGAATGGGCCAGGGGGCTGCGACAAGCAGCCGAGTTAGCTCTGACAACCAAAGTTAGTTCTTCCAGAGGGGGGCCACCAAGAGAACCTTGTGCCCCTGTTCCCTGATTTGCCTGATTACCTGCAGGATCAGGGCGATCGGGGGAATGCGTAAAGGAGGAGGTTGGGCCAGTCGTGGGCCAACGCATCCCTGATCTTCGAATAATAAATTGGACAGTGAGAGTTGTCTTCTGAGAGGTCTACCGTGGCCTCGGCCTCGGCCTCGCCAAAGATCTCCCAAATTCTCTGAACCATCCACTCTTCTGAGGGGACATTGCTCCCTGATAACATGTCAGCTCCTCGGTTCAATTTGCCCGGTATATGCACCGCCCTCAGCGAGCGCAGGTTGAGTTGAGCCCATTCCAGAAGGCGCTCTACCAGAGTGAAGAGGCGCTTCGAGGAGAGGCCTCCTTGGCGATTTATGTAGGACACCACAGACATGTTGTCCGAGTGGATTAGCACATGGTCTCCCCTTAGGTCTGGCAGGAAGAACTGACAGGCCCGACACACTGCTAGCATTTCCAAGCAGTTGATGTGAAGCCCTTCTTCTGCTTTGACCAATGGATGAAGGTCGGTTTGCCCTCGCACAGCGCCCCCCAACCCATGTTGGAGGCATCTGTCGTGACAACCTTTCTCCTGCAAATCATTCCCATGGCCACGCCCTGTTCCATCCAGCGAGAGTTCTTCCAAAGGGCCAGGGCTGTTACACAGGCCTGGTCCACCCTGATACGCAGGCGTATGTGACGCCACGCATGGGATGGAACCCGCGGTTTCAGCCAGCGCTGAAGGGGCCGCATACAAAACAGGCCCAGCTGTAGTACTGGTGACGCTGTGGCCATGAGGCCCAGCATCCTCTGAAACATTTTGAGAGGGCAAGTGGCACCGATCTCAAAGGAGGCTGCTAGTTTCTGCATGGCCAGAGCACGTTCTGGCGCGACTACCGCTCTCATCTGAGCTGAGTCGAAAACTGTTCCCAGGAACGATATTCGCGTGCTGGGGGACAGCGTGCTTTTGGCGAAATTGACCCAGGCACTATAAGTCCCAGGCACTATAAGTGGCTGAGGAGGAGGGTCCTGTGTGATATTAATTCTGCCTCCGACTGGGCCAAAACGAGCCAGTCGTCGAGGTAGTTGAGAATACGGATTCCCATCTGCCTTAGACGGGAAAACTTCGTAAAAGTGCGAGGAGCCAGAGACAGTCCGAAGGGAAGGACCGTGCACTGATACGCCACTCTCTCGAAGGCGAATCTCAAGAATCTGGATCTGGATGTGAAAGTATGCGTCTTTCAGGTCCAGAGAAAAGAACCAGTCCCCTTTGCGAATCTGCTTCAGTGTAGTCATCCTGAACAACCTTTTCATGAGGGCGCGATTCAGGTGTCTGAGATTGAGGATGGGCCGGAGACCGCCATCCTTTTTGGGGACGAGGAAGTAACGAATGTAGAAGCCTGACTCGCTCTGAGCTGGAGGAACCATTTCTACAGCTCCCTTTGCCAGCAGATTCTTCACCTCTGAGCGCAGAACGTGAGCGTCCTTGCTTTGCACCGAGGTGGAGACCACGGCGCTGAAGTGCGGGGGTCTTCGAGCGAATTGGAGTGAATAACCTTGTTTTATTATCCCCATAACCCATTCTGACACTCTGGGGATGGCTTGCCAGGCCTCGGCCAACCTGGCAAGGGGTTGGATCAGTTTGAGTGACTGGCTGCACGGGGGCAGGGCACTCATGAGAAACGGAAGAGGAAATTTGCTCTCTTTTTGAAAATGTTTGTGTTTTATTTTTCCCACTATAACAGCGGGTGGTTGCTTGGGCACTTGAATGGGCCCAGAATTTGCAACAGACACATTTCCCTCTGCACCCGGGGTTGAACGGGGTGATAGGAGGCTTAAGAGAGGCTGCTTGGAGGGTGGTCCAGCCGTAGCGAGACTTGGCCCCCTCCTCTTCCTGTCCTGCAGATCAGGAAGAAGCCTGAGGCACCGGGTCCAATGCTATCTTGGGTCGGGGTCCCTGGCGCTTAGGAAAGGGGTAGCGTCTGGCTGAGCGGGAACACCCTTGTGTCTGCTGAGTCTTAGCAGGCTGAGCGGTGGGGTTGGCAGGTGCAGGCTTCATGGGCTGCTGAGTCTGCATATGCTTAGGGCGACTAGGAGCAGCTGCAGAGCTGGAGCGCTTTGGCAGGAAGTGTCACATGACCTGGGACGTCTTCTGTGCCTCCGTAAAGCTCTCAGCGAACCCTCAACGGCTGGTCCGAAAAGGCCGGTGGGGGAGATCAGGGAGTCAAGGAAGGGGACCTTGTCCGCATCCTTGATCTCCATCAAAGTAAGCCACAAGTGGAACTCGAGCACCACAAGGCTGGCCATGGACTACCCGATTGCCAAGGAAAAGGCGACGGATCAGTCGAGCAGAGAGGTGGCTGGGTCCTACTGCGAGGCATGTCAACGGCGAGCAGGCTTCTGGGATCAGCAGAGAGCGTAGTCGCCGTAACGAGACTTGGCCCCCTCCTCTTCCTGTCCTGCAGATCAGGAAGACGCCTGAGGCATCGGGTCCAATGCTATCTTGGGTCGGGGTCCCTGGCGCTTAGGAAAGGGGTAGCGTCTGGCTGAGCGGGAACACCCTTGTGTCTGCTGAGTCTTAGCAGGCTGAGCGGTGGGGTCGGCAGGTGCAGGCTCCATGGGCTGCTGAGTCTGCGTAGGCTTAGGGCGACTAGGAGCAGCTGCAGAGCTGGAGCGCTTTGGCAGGAAGTGTCACATGACCTGGGACGACTTCTGTGCCTCCGTAAAGCTCTCAGCAAACCTTCAACCACCCGTCCGAAGAGGCCGGTGGGGGAGATCGGGCGTCAAGGAAGGGGACCTTGTCCGCATCCTTGATCTCCGTCAAAGTAAGCCACAAGTGGCGCTCGAGCACCACAAGGCTGGCCATGGACTACCCGATTGCCGAGGAAAAGGCGACGGATCAGCCGAGCAGAGAGGTGGCTGGGTCCTACTGCGAGGCATGTCAACGGCGAGCAGGCTTCTGGGATCAGCAGAGAGCGTAGTCGTCGTCGCTGAAGGAGAAGAAATCTGAGGATCCTGTGGCGAAGCGCCTGCTTATATAGCCAGATGGCCCCACCCATTCTGGCGGGCTTCGTCGCCATAGGCTCGTGCAGCCCCGCTGCGGAGCCATTGGTTCGTTTTTAATACACTGCACGAACCAATGGCCATGCAGTTACACTGCGTGATTGAAAAAAGGCTTCAGTTCAGGGGAAAAAAGGCTTTTTCCCATAGCGTCTTTTAGCAAGACGCCGTACGAGTGAAGTATAGATAGGGAACTGTTGTGCTGCTTCATATTTTGTGGAAACCATGAGATACATTTTTTCAGGATTCTTTGATGAAAGTTCAAAACAACAGCATTTATTTGAAATAGATAAAAAAATATATTTGTCAGTTTTGATCATTGCTGGATAAAAGTATTAATTTCTTTCCATAAATAAATACATAAAAATCTTACTGACCCCAAGCTTTTGAACTCCCTCGAAAAATAAATAAATAAATAAAACATACTAATAAATAAATAAATAAGAGTGTCTGGATCTGGAGTTTATTTAAATTTTACTCTGATTTTGTATTTTATCAGAAATTGTTTTGTCACATATAACAGCTTTTGCAGAGAAACTATTATTAATCAACAGGGAAGCACAAAGTATACTTGAGCTAAAACCAAACCCACAAATCTGTAAATGCTGTTATTCATTTCAAATGCAAAGAGGATGTTTACATCAAATTCTTAAAAGCACAGTTGCAAAATTATTATATTATATTATATTATATTATATTATATTATATTATATTATATTATATTATATTATATTATATTATATTATATTATATTATATTATATTATATTATATTATATTATATTATATTATATTATATTATATTATATTATATTATATTATATTATATTATATTATAGGATCAAGGGGATATAACTACACTAATAGTCAAATGCGGCCTTGATGATTGTGATTTATATGTAAACTGAATGTAAAGAGCTGAAGGGTAACTAGAAGCCGAAAGCAAAAGACAAACAGTACCAAAACATAAGCACATCTCACTGCAAACCAGAGAGAGTATTAAAGAGCCACAAAAATCAATTATTCACAATACGCCTGGAGGCATAACTGGACCTCGGCTAATAATGAGTGACTTTTGAGCACTGGGTTATAAAATACCCATGTAAGCACTGGGATCTGTGAATGTTCAGACATGCTCACAGATCAACATGCAGTATGAGAAGTATTATGAGGCGAGAGTATCTCTTTCATTCTCACACTCTTCCTCACCTTCAACTATATATGCCTGGGTCCCATTATCCCCTTCCTGGACAACACTCACACCCTGTTTGAGTGTCATGGGATAGGCAGAATCCACCAAACACCGCATCTGATCCCTGTCTAGATATTTCATACACTCATTTTCTGCCACAGCCGATTCTATCAGCTGCTGTAACCTGAAAGAAATAAAGACAGATAAAGACTTACACTGGGGAAATGTATCAGTATAGGCAATAAGGGAATGAGTTGAGATTTTAGGCAGGTTCTTACTCTTGACTCTTGCTGTAGCTGATTGGTGGGGTTTGTAAGACTAGTTTCGGCTCCAAGGTAACTGGTTCTGTTAGCAGAGCTTTTCTCCTCACTCTCAGGGAAGAAACACGTTGTTGACCTAAATGCAAATGAAATGAGTGTAAAGATGAATAATACAATGTTTTTATAAGATTAAAAAAGACTGGGTTGTTACCTCTGAACTCTGCGTAGATTGCTGATGCATAATGCATATAAAAATAAAGTCAGATTTGTTTTCTCATAGATTATTATGATTGCACTAATGTGTTTCTGAACATTTGGAATTGTATTTAATTTAAAACTCAATTAACATCAATTTCAAATAAGATTTGATTGCCATTACATCGATATGTTTCAAAAAAGTCGACGATAGTGTGGAGGGGCAACAGAAACAACAGAGTTGAGATGACAGAGTTAACAAAGTTCGACTATACGCAAATGCAAAGTGATGCAGCAACCACCAATGCAAAAATTGGCAACTGAGGCCCTGTTTACACTTGGAAATAAGATTTCGTTGGTGTTTCTGTCAATCTGATCACAAGTGGACGACAGTAAATACAGGTGTAAAATGTTTTGAGCTTGTCCACTTTTGACTCTTTCGGAGATCGTTGAAAATGCATTCAACCGGATTGCTTTCATTCTCAAATGCATTCAAACAACCACAAAATGTTGCCTACTGACCTGATACGTAATCACTGTGTGATGTGTTGTGAGAAACCACGCCAAAACAAGCTATTCATACTTTTCTACCTTGTATCAAAACACACACTAATTTGTTCGTAATCTGTGTAACATGGGTTCATTTAGTGAATATTACTCATAAAATGCACCATCCATCTTGGAAGAGTCATTTACACTGACAGTCATTGTCAGTGATCACTTATTTTCAGAAAGAGCTGACAATATCCAATGACAAGCAACAGAGACTTGGTGTTGCAACAAAGTTGTACAGATATGACTACTATACAGACGAGCAGCAAATTGACAGTTTTTGGGATAGTTGCCTCAAAAATGAATATTCACCCTCATATTGTTTTTAAAACTGTATGTATTTCTTTATTTGGTGGAACATAAAATAACATATTTTGAAGAATGTTGGGAACCAAAAATAAAAAAATGGAGCCCATGAACTATAACTGTATGGAAAAACACATTGAAACATTTTTCAAAATATCATTCCACAGAAGAAAGGCCTTTTGTATTTCGTAAGAGAGAAGTGAGTCATATCACAGGAATGGCAGGTAAGTTTATAATATTTTGATTAAAGATTATGAGGTCAAAATGGAAATAAAAATATATATCCAAGGATGAATCGTTCACAGTGACATGCATAGAGAAAATAAATAAGATCAAATTTGATTTCATGCTGACGCACTTGTGCGCTTCAGGTGGAGTCGGAAATACTTTAATTAGGTTGCATCTTCTTTTAACTTGTCCTTGCTACAATATGATTATGCAATTAAGCATGCACATTTATGTACATATAGGGTTAGTGGCATGCATAAAAAATGATACTACATTTTTTTTTAAGGTAAGTGGTTGCAATCAATTTATTTGTAGCTACATTTAAATAAACTAATTTAGTTGAAAGTTAATCAACTAAATTTGCTTATTTAAATGTAGCTAAAATAAATTGATTGCAACCACTTACTTTAAAAAATTAGTAAATTCAATTAATCATTTTTAATGGAGTCCATTGTGTGTATGATAGAAATGTTACACAGAAATTACTATTTCTTGAGTAGCGAGTAGCGACGTCCTATACCCCAGGTAGCCAAAAAGATCTGGCCCGATAACGGCCCAAATCCGGCAAACCGGAAGAAATAACTCGGGCCAGATGCGGTTGCCGGACTCGTGTGAATCACGGAAATGAATGACGCGCCAGAATCGGCCCGAATACGCTGGCCCGAGTCCGGGTGCCGAAACTGAGCCGACACTGCCAGCATCGGGCCACAATCAGGCCAGCACAGATTATACAATTAACCGGTACTGGCCAACCGGCCCGATTCCGCTGGCTACCTGGGACGTGCGCGACCAGTTATTGAATCATCAAAAAAATAAGAGTAAATGCACCTTTAAAATCAGATTATAAACGGGGGAAAATATATATTTTACTACTCAAAAATTGTATTTCTGACAAATAAAATAAAGCGCTTTCCGTACCAGCTGCTGAGGCGCCAGGAGCGGAGAGCCGCAGACGGTCGAGCTCCCCCTGCAGGCGGCGGATCAGATCGTCTTTAGCGTCCAGCTCCAGCTCCAGCTCGTCGATAAGAGCATCTCTCTGCCGTAACTCCTCAATCTTCAACTGAAGTGCGAACTGAAGATCTCTGAGAGTCCCCATCAGCCCTGCATAAGGGGACACAGAGAGGGACTGATGGACCTTTACACAACTGTAAAGTGTGCGCCCGCGTTTAACGAAGTGAGATAGATAACCAAACAAATGGAAACAAATATCAAAGGAAAGATATTAACGGCAGACAAAACTGAAGTTGCTCTGCACTTATTTAGAGAGTCTCCAAAGCTCATTGACTGTAATATTAACAGTGCAACCAGCGCTGCATTATAATCCAAAAAGATTAAGCCACAACAAAACCAATTTCGTTAATTTGTTTAAACATCGCATTGCAAATAAGGGACATCTGAGAAGACATTTACCTGAATAATATGGGCAAGGAACATGTGGAATACAAACAGACCGAAAGCGATTTCCCCTCTGGAATGATGGAGCTGGTCAGCTTTAGGAATACTGAAGAAAACCAGAGCGCACTGATCTGAGAGAGAGAGAGAGAGAGAGAGAGAGAGAGAGGATGTGGGCGGGGCTAGATTACATTTACAGAGAATTAAACACAACTATTGCAATGCAACAAAATAAACCGTTTTCATTGCATTCAAGCTCGGTTGCACAAAAGATGATTTATCAATGACTATGCCGACGACATGTAGCATTATAGCATAACTTATAAAAAAAACTAGGACAGTATTCAGTTTTCAAAAATGAACTTTTGGCTCGATTACTTGATCTTACAAAACACAACCTTTTAATAATGACTTAAGTTGTTGTTGGTTTGTGTTGTTTGTGTTTTATAGGCATAACGTTAGCTATGTTAATAACCCAGTAAAAGATTATTGATTGATTGATTGATTGATTGATTGATTGATTGATTGATTGATTGATTGATTGATTGATTGATTGATTGATTGATTGATTGATTGATTGATTGATTGATTGATTGATTGATTGATTGATTGATTGATTGATTGATTGATTGATTGATTGATTGATTGATTGATTGATTGAAAGAGGTTGTTTAAATATACAGTTGGATAGTTTCAACTAAAAATGGAAAACTCTGTTGTGCGTTTTGACCGTTCATTCACATATGGTGTTTTGGGGTCTTAAAACACTTTTGAAATGTTGGAAAACTCTAAGAGCAAGTTTTTGAAAACGATACGTTATCATCTAAACTACGAAAACGTGAATTTGTGAAATGGTGACCGCATGCAAATGCGTATTAGGTATACAGGTGTGTAGTGTTTCTTTAGAAAGTGACATCGCCAACTACTGGCCTGGCATGCATAATACAGCATTTTTAGTTGGTTTTGCGGATTATAGCACTTGCATTACTCTTTTGCTGATTTTGATTGCTTCCATTGTCCTCAGTTGCTTCGGATAAAAGCGTCTGCTAAATGACTAAATGTAAATGCAATGTAAATGTAAGGTTAGGTCTATGTTTTTGGACAGTAATGTCGATCCAGGATCAACAAAAGATGTTGATCCAGGAACATATCAGCTACTGTAAAAAAGAAAAGAAAAGGCATATTTAGCATAGCTTTTGTTACGACCTGTCATTTAACTATTAAAAGTCATTTCAAATTTAGATTCAGAGTCTGGATCTGGAGAATTATGGACAGTGAAGTGGTTCTGTTTCCATAATTTTTTGTACATTTAGATGAAGACTTCAAATATAGCCTACATGTGTTAAGCACAACACCCAACTTAAAAGCAGAGTTCATTGGTCAACTCATTTGCATTATATTGTTTCACCTGTTCACTTGTTCGAGTCAGCATGTCAAACAGTAATGCAGACGCTAACAAGGGTGTGCTACCAATGCTATAGGGTGCGTTTACACAATGTATACGTTTTTCCTTTGCGATTTTTGAAAGGTTTTATGTACAGATGACAGTGTTGTCAAAACAAACATAACTACTAAAAACACTGTATTATGCATGCCGGTATTTGGCAGTCACCACTGGCCTGCCTGGCATATGTTTATATTTTATTAAAGCTCAAAACCAATATACAGTCAGTAACAGATAACAATGCCTATAGACTGAACATGTAATATGCAGTCACTGTTTTCATAAAATTTCACACTTTTATATGGAGATGTTCTTGTTAATGGTGTTTTCAAAAGCCTTTTCAATAGGCCCCCAAAATGTTGTAGCCATGTAAATAAACGATCAAAATGCATAAAAAGGTGTCATTTAAACACCTCGTATAGGTTAAGTGTATAGGCCTACGTTACATGCCAAAGATGTACCACAAAACAGAAACGTTTTTCCTTTGCATTTTTGAAAAGTTTCACATATAGATGACAACGTTGTCAAAACGGTTCACACGGATTAGCAAAAACGATTATTTAACCTTGTAGGCCTATAATGTATGCCAGGCCAGTAGTTGGCGATGTCACTTTGTAAAGGACCTCACACATGTCTATAGACTGAACATGTACGCATGCACATGACATAATCATTTTCACAAATTTGTGTCATTGTACACAGAGATGAAACCGGAATTGTTTTCAAGAACTTATACACTTTGAAAGTTTGCGTTTTCAGGCCCCCAAAACACTGTTGTTGGTGTTGCATAAAGTTAGGGTTATTTGTTTCAGTTTTATGTAACTTAGGCAGTTAGCGCTGTGATTGAGATTACCAATGAAATCTTTAGAGTCGGCTGCAGGCGTAGTTTTCACTTCAGGAAAAAAAAACAGTGCATTCCAAACGGGATATATCGCCCTCCGAAGGGCACTCCGGAGTGAAAACAATCATGGCCGCCATATTGAAGGGTCATTCCAAACCGAAGTGCTCAAAACTGGCCACTTCAAAGGGCCCTTCGGAATGAAGGATTTGGAAGGGTACAACTGATGGACACTTGGGGCTCCCATGATCCTTTGCGCAGATTCTTTGCATGATGACGGCGCCTCGTGATGATGATGCAGAAGGGCACTTCAAGAAACTGAATATAATCTATTGTCTACCTCATATGTAGAGAAAAGGTTGTTAAAAACTCGGGATACATTTTATGAATTTGGGGACAAGGCCAGTAAATTGTTAGCTTTTCAGGCTCGTCAATCAAATAATTTGAAAACGATCACTCACATCAGGACCTCATCAGGCTCTCTGTTATATTCTTTACAAGATATTAACAATAGCTTTGTCCAGTTTTTTACTGCTTTATATTCCTCAGAATATCCTAATGATTCAGTAATTCTAGACTCCTTTTTTACAAAAGTGAATCTACCAACTATAAATGTCAATCTTAACTCTGACCTTGGCAAACCCATAATACAAGTAGAAGTAACAGATGCCATTAGAGCAATGCAGAGTAGTAAAGCTCCAGGGCCGGATGGCTTTCCTATAGAATTTTATAAGAAGTTCTCCACATTACTAGGCCCCCTTCTTGTAGCAGTATAACGAATCTTTTGTTAATGGAACCCTTCTTCCAACACTCACACAAGCTTCAATCTCTCTTCTTCCAAAAGATAAAAAGGATCCTACTCTTTGTGAGTCTTATAGGCCAATTTCACTATTGAATGTTGATTTTAAAATATTAGCCAAAGTCCTTGCAATGCGTATAGAGAACGGGATTAAGCTTCTGAAAGATTTATTCTGTAATAATACCTTTTGCTCCTTTCAGGAACTTCAAAGTCGTTTTGTCTTGCCTAGAACTCATTTTTTTTTAGGTTTTTGCAAATCAGAAGTTTTATAAAGAAAGTTTTTAATTATTGTCCAGTGCTACCCCCTTCCTCACCCATTGAAATGTTACTGATCTAAAACCAAACAGTAAGGGGCTTATTTCATCTATATACTCTATTATATCCACTATAGATCCACTAAATGTAGACAGTATTCGAGTGGCCTGGCAGAGTGAATTGGGCATAGAATTTACAGAAAGGGAGTGGGCTGATATCCCTGACCAGGTGCACTCTTCATCTCCTTGTTCCAGGCATGGACTTGACCAATTCAAGATACTTCATAGACTTAATTTTACTAACTCAAAGTTAGCTAAGATTTATCCTAGATTTATTATACATGTTGCCCCTTGGTAATATTATTAGAAAATACGGGATTAGTTTCCACTGTTATGCTGATGATACTCAACTAT